CCTCTAAAAACATACTAAATTGCTATCATTGTACACTAATCCGCACATAACTTCCAGATGAATCACACACCTGTCATTGGAATATTGGAATATTGGTGTACATTTACCTTATGTGTATGCACTAATTTTATCTTACAAGTGGAGGTTGAGGTACCAGCTGCAAATGTGGACAGTGGTGATCGGACAGACAGCGTCACGGAAGCTATAGGGCAGACGAATTATTGTGTGTGCAATGAACAGGGCAGAGCCGAAATAAACACAACACTGCTTGATAAGATTATTAAGGTTTGCTGTGTTTTGGTGACTATGTGCCCCAGTGTGGTTGTCAAACCCAACATCACGCCGCAGTGCATTGTGGGATTGCGGTGCCATGTCAGTAGGCCAGAAAGTAAAACAAGCGCACAGTGTTGGAGTGTTGGAATCGGGACTGCCAGAACCATGCTCAAAATCAGCGCAAAAGACAAAGGGCTGTATCATGACTGATTGCGCCCAGACGGCAAGAAGCGGTGCTTTGAAAAAATTGCGTGCACCAGTAATGTGGACCCGTATGAAATAAGGAAGTGGAGTGGAAACCCAGACGACCTACCGCCGTTGTCCTATCCCAATATCTTCGCATACCTTGTCTGTGGAGTCAGCGCATGCACAGCGAACCAGTTTAAGAATTATAAATCCCTGGAGGCCCACATCCAATTCACAAAAGGCCGGGTGCAAGATTTGTCCATCTTTAAGCCTCCACGCTTAAAAATGTTGTCATTAAGACAAAGGTAAGTCGGTTTGAACTTGATAACTTTCTAAACAACTTCCTTGTTACAGTTTTTGATTTGCACATACAGCCAACCCATCTATATTAGCCTTGGTTAATTACAGACCTTTTATTAAAAGTGGCTTTTGTGTGTTTCAGGTACTGCACTCACAACGACTGAATGAAACTGCATTACAGCCATGGGTCATTGTGAGCACCAATGGGAGGGTTGAGGCTGCTCACTGCACATGCATGGCCGGAGTTGCAGAGACCTGCACCCATGTCGCTGCTCTTTTGTTTAAAGTCGAGGCTACAGTGTGTATCAGAGGCACCAGAACTGTAACAGACGAGCCTGCATATTGGGTATTGCCCGGAAATATGACCAAGATACAGCCTGAGGTTGCACATAACATTGACTTCTCCTCAGCAGCTGCCCAAAAACGTGGTCTTGATGAAATCATAAACACACCCTCCTTTTGCCTTTGAGAGGCAAAAGGAGGCGATCGCAAAAAAGGCAGATTCCTATTGCAAAGCTGGAGGATTTGTCACCATTACTGGATACACTGCAGGACCACAGCAAAGCAGTGAGTTTGTGTGGAATAGAAAACTATTACACCAACTACACTACACAGTCACCCACATTGAAGAAATTGAAGCACAGACCAGATCGCAGCACATGACCCCTGCATGGTTTCGCTGGCGTGCAGGGAGAATCACAGCTTCGGCTATGCATGCTGTTTTGCTACAAGTTTGGACACTCCAGCCCATAGTGTTGTGAATTGTGTGTGTTACCCAGAAAGGACCTTTTCTACTGTGCAAACAAGGTGGGGTGTCGAGCATGAAGAGGACGCAAGAAAGGCCTACAACGAGATAATGGCATCGCATCACCACAATCTGCAGGTTCGGTTATGTGGTTTCTGTGTGAACACCAATTTTCCGGAAGTCGGAGCATCTCCAGACGGACTCACAATATGTGACTGTTGTGGTAAGGGGTGTCTGGAGATAAAGTGTCCTTTTAAACAACGAACGGCCAGCATTAAGGAGGCATTGGCTGCACAGGACAAAGACTTTTGCTTGGAGGTAGCTGCTAATGGTCTTCAGTTGAAGCGGGCGCACCCATACTACTGTCAGGTACAAACACAAATCTTTGTTACCGGCGCCAACCACTGTGACCTCGTTGTGTGGACACAGAGAGACCTTGCTGTGATATGCATCTTCGGATTTCTGGGAACCGCGTAAAAGTAACTCGAGATGTTGTTTTAAGGAAATAAGAGAGAAAAGAGACCAGTGTGTGATTAAAGAATAAGAGAATATAAGAGTTATTGGTCAGTTTAAGGTTTAAAAGTGTCAAGTTCAGGGGTGCAGACCCCCTCCCTACTGGAGACGTCCAGTAGGTGGTCTGGCATGGCCGTACTGGAGATTGACCATCTACCAAGACTTATGATCAGAGGATCATTTTGAGAGACACTTATTTGTGAGAAAAGAGTAATACCGGACGCAGAGGTCCGAGGAGTTTACATATGATTTAACAGACTCAAGCCAGCCGTGAGCTTGAGGGGAACAGTAAACATTCCTTAGTGTAGCAGCAAAAATTAGGAAGTACAGAAGTTAGTGCAAAAAGTCCAGTAATAATACTGTGCAAAAGAGCATTTACAGGTTGGTGTGTACGATGGTTTGGTGGTGTAGGTGTGTTTGCGCTTGTGTTGATTAGTCAGTCCAGTCTCAATGTTTTGAGGTAGTTGAGTTAACCTGAGTGATA